TTCGTGCTTTTCGAGGTTCCGAGACGCGTGAGACGTGTCGGCACCGGGGGATCAGGCTGGATGCAGTGACATCGAATCTTATAGTCTTAGAGATCCGCTTTCTGTGCCTGCAGAACCCCGAAGCAATCCATACTTCCAGTGTGGCAGTGACAATTCCTTGAACTCCTGGCATCAACGATTGCAATCTGGCATGTGGGAACATGTGGCTTGACCACGTCTCGGTGGTCGATACTGTTCATTTTCAGTGGTCAACCAAGGTGTCAGGGTTTTGACCACAGTCATGTATGTCCCGATGTTTCTCCTGTGGCATAGGAACCTACGCAGCGGTGTCCGTCTGAACAGTTATGAAGGGAGAGTCAACATTGCTGCCCAAAACGATTCTGCGCAATTCTTCACCTGTGCTTTTTCCTGCTGAGAACAAACAACACAAAACTAGCTGTTTCACTTACATACGTTCCCTTGAGGGTCCCCTTTTCTCAGCCACTTGCAAGAAACCCCACATACAATCTACATGGAAAAGTGAAATCCCTTCAGCCACTAAAAAGTGCATTTCAATCCTAACACACTTAACACACCAGGCATAGGAAGTCTGGTGTTCCCTTCCGTGCGCAGGCTGCCTAACAAGCTACCACAGTACCGGGAGGTGAAGACAAACTGACCATCAATGACCTAAACCTGGTACTTTAGTTGGATTCCAATCTCGTCGCCGAAACTGAGATCTACCGATCTACCACAGAATCGTTTGCTGCGTATCCACCACGGCATTTCCAGCGCTGGCCCCCCAAGCAGTGAGGCGCGGATGGCCCATTAGCCCATCACGGCTCGCTTCTTTCTTCGCAACTCTGACGGCTGCAAACCAGGTGAAAGTATCAGGTCGAAGGTCAGCTGAGTCAGCTGGTTTTCTGCTGTTGAACATCCTAACGCTCCCAGTGGTGGATCTCACACTGCTTGGCGCACGTCTGTCGACTGGTCCAGCTTGCGGAAGTGGAGTGGAATCGCCGGAAAGCGGTACATCATGAAGCTTTTCTTGGTACATAATGAATGATCAACATGCCCAAGTGAGGGGCACTACACAGGGTGGAATGGCTTGTGTTTTGCCCAAGTGAGCAATGGTTTTGTGTTTTTGAAGATTTTGTACTTGGACCTGTGTGTCTTGTACAAGTCAGACACGTTTCTTCGTGACTTCTGGCGCGGGTGGTAATTAGTAAGGAGTGGCCGGAATGGCATGATTCAACTTTCATACCCGCTGCCAATCAAGAGATATCCACGCACCATATGCAATATGTACTTATACGGAAACAAAAACACATCAGGATTTCAGTGGTATCTGACGCAGCCTTTCGACTTGGTCCGTGTGGCGAGTTGACGCCGCATCTTCACAGGTTCACCACCTCGGGTGGTTCGCAACCGGCGATGCAAACTCTTCGTCCGAGAGTCCAAAAGGAACCAGGCAATGGTCACCCGTGGTTCGTAGGGCACCCGTGGTTTCAGAGACAAAAAAAACCATAGACCAACCTAACACGCGTTCCTTATACAAGCATATAGAGAGAGAGAGGGAGGAAAATAAGTGGTGATATAAAACTGGGATCGGGGGGTATATATGACTTCACTGGCCTTTTTGCATGAGTTTCCACAAAGGATTCACGGGGCAGGAGGTTAGCAGGCATCACGCGTGGGTCTGCACTTGGAGGAAGGCACTGGCAGCCTGGAGCTGCGCAGGAACGACCATCCCTCCAGCTGGGTTGGGGACCTGTCTCGGTCGTGGCAAACAGCTCCGAGCTGGGGACGAAATGGATACTACACCCACCTCTTTGAGCTCCTCCTTTCTCTGAGCAAGCAGCTAGCAACAAGAGTATACAAGAGTCAGTCTTCTATTCTGCTTCAGGCCACGAGGATCCTCAAGAAAACCCATCTTGGCCGAGTGAAGTCAAGTCTCACAAAAACAAGAACCAAACATCTCCCAACACCTCCACGTATGCTAGTGCAGGTGGGTCGTAGCATGTAAGGACATTTCAAGGGTGACCAACATCCAACGAACAGATCCGCACATGGATGTCCCATCGTCATCCATCATCATCCTCTTCCAAAACATGGGACCACAAGGGAAAGTACTTTTTCCATGTTCTATATTGTGGATTGAGAGTAGATGGCACAGACCCCAAGAGGTGGTTTATATGGACCCCCATCTAAAAGACATCCTGGGGTTTGTGCCATCTACTCTGAAACCACTGTAAAACAAATGTCCATCATCATCCCCTTCCCCCAAAAAAGGGACCATACGTATCCATCATTAAGTCACAAGGGACCTCTCCCGGTCCCTGCCCTTCCTAGTCCTCCCCTTCCTCCATCCCTCACCCGTCCCGTCCCTTTTCTTCGGCCCAAACCAAACGTCGACTCCTCGGTGTGGGGCGTCGGGGCCAACGACGGCGACCGCGGTGGTGGGGCGCTTCGCGTTTCGCTTGGGGTCCGTCTCGGTCGTCGTCTCCTTCGTCGCTCCGAGGGGCGATCAGATCTCCATGCCCGGCACGACGACGTCGGGCAACACTTCGATGCCGTGCTTCTCCGGGTCGTCCTCCCCTGGCGAAGCGTACCAAACGGCAGGTTGCACGAACCGGGGTTCCGCGTTCCGGCCCGGAACTGGCCTGGTGGGTCTGTGTGTGTGCGCTCACAAAATGTCCATGCCATGTACGAGTTCAAACGACAAGTTCCAACACGTGCTGAGTCTGTCACCTTCCCATCTCATCCCATCTTCTCAGCACCTCTAAGCACCGTCTCTCCCCGATCGATCACATGGCACCTGGGTCGATGCCCAAGAAGGGATTCCTCAACATGCCCACCTGCTCATCCACCGTCACGTCCTGCCGTTCCAACGGCTACGGCTCCGTTCCGGCTGTCGGAGGAGTTGGAGGAGACCAGTTCACCCAGTTTCGTGGAACGTGGAACGTTCGGAACGCGAGGCGTTTCGGGCGTTTCGGCATGGAGGGGTCGGAATATAGCATGGAGACACATCCGAGGCAAACCTGGAACCTGAAGAGGACATGTTTTTCAAAAGAGACCGAAGAGTAAAAGGATGAAACAGTCAGAAGAGGCCAGATAAAACAAAAAGATTCAGAATCTGCCCGACTGCTCACGAACAGCCAAAAGGCATCAAGGCCCCCCTCATTGGGGATCTCGAATGTGGCTGTCTGTCAAAACCCGGACCCTTAAACCCTATTGAGGCTTTGACCATCCAGACATATCGTCTATTCTATTTATGGTGGGTGGTCAACCAGGGGTCCCTTTGCAGCTACAGCACTCCTCAAATGGATGACCCTCGGATGGAATTCCCACCACCAGTTATCGGATTTCAATGGCGTGAATGCCGAACTACCATTGCCTTATCATGGCCCAGACACGACACGTCTGAGTCTGGGACTGCCAGCCAGGACTGCCGCCCCAGAAAGACCCCTCATGGCCCACCCCGGTGACCGTTTTGAAGGCAGTCCTGGCTGGCAGTCCCGTCTACGTGTCGTGTCGTGTCATTGTTTCATGCCAGACACGCTCGGTCCAACGGACGGACTGTCGGTCTCCTCGAGGCAATCCACAAAGCGCATGTGGAAGTCGGTGAGGGAGATGTCATTGGTATCTTGACCAAAGGGATTCTCCAGCTCCTGCCGGAGGTCTGCGGATGCTTGGAAGGTCCAGAGCTCTCATAAACCAGTATGGATGGTGTGAAATTGTGAAACCTGCACCAAAAAGTGCCAGGTTTGGAATACTGTATAGAGAGAGAGAGAGAGAAAAATAAAATAAAATAAATAATGTTTGGAAGATGTCTCCTAAAATGAACAATTCCCATTCCATATCTATGCACCCCAATCGGGATGAAAATGACCCCATGCACCCCAATTGGGAGATGAGATGGAGAGGTGGAATGAGACTCGGCCAAAGGATCCAACGGTCCAAGCCCAGTTTCTTTTGCATTGTGTGCATGGTCAAACCGTCAAACCAAACACCTGAATGACTTCTGACATGAAGTCCACATAAACTCCACGTGATGGGTGAAGCCCTCTACTTTGACAGGTTCTGGGCAGAAAAAGATCAGCTCACTACACACTTAGTGGGGGATCCTACTGCCTCACTGCCGCTCACTTTGAATTCGACAGATCGCTTTGCTGTGACGCTTGATGCCAGGGTTCTTTGGAGGGATTTGTTCTTTGTGAGTTGGAAGACATTCAACCCCACAGTTCCCCACTGTCGCTTCTTTAACACTGCTTCTCAACGCTCTGCCCTAGTCTGACAAGACCCTTCTCAAAAGCCTTCACCTCGTCTTATATATTATGTAAAGCCTACTGCAAAACCATGTACAGTAAAACACCCTATAGCCAACTATATAAACCTGTTCAATCAGTTTGCCAGGTCTCACGACCCTCTCCGATAATTCGGATGACACCTTGGCAACTTCGTTGAGGCACCAAAGGCTCTCGAAGAGGAAGAAACACCTCGCGAGCCGCGAAAGCGAGGACAGGTGAGACACGAAACATGCGTGCGACCTCATTGGGAGCCACCCCGGTGGGATAGGAGGCATCAAGAGACATGAGACATCAAACAAAATGATCCCAGCATCCACTTGGGTGAACTCGCTTACTACAACCCGCACCAGGCCCATTGCCTTCCCCAAAATGGGGAGGACCGTCTCCCTGCATCCCTCTCCCACGACGGTCCACATGTAGCACCCCATTCGTCAAACTCGTGGCCAATCGCACTTCACCGAGGCACAGAATGGGCCCAGCGATGGGCGACCCGGTGAAGTTGATCACGTAGACCGGTATGAAGGCGCTGAAAGCCACCTCATCAGCCGCATGTCGGACGTGCAGACGTGCATGTCGAACGGTTGGTGGAGCCTCCTGAGGCTCAGAAGACTTGAGTCGACGACATGGGGCGAGAGCCACAGCAAATCAATGTGGATGCTTCCTTGCAACAAGGATCTCTATCGCCATAGCTGAATGACAATTGCTGCCTCTGTTTTTCCTCATCAGCACGGCTCAGCACAGGGGTGTCCAGCATGCTAGAACACTATAATAGGCCAGCGCTGTGAACCTGAACTAAGTCCTCTCCTAGAAGCGATCAGGTCTCTAAGAACATCCGCTGAGCTGACGTGGCACAACGAGAACAAGTGCCAATCAAATTCCAAAATGCAACATGCAACAGTCCGAACAATTGCCAGCATTCCCATGAGAGTTCCTATCAGTCTGACTCAAAACCGCTCAAGACTTGCCAACCATCGGAATTGGATTCGTCGACATAAAGTGCTGTCAAACAGGGATGCTTTGCCAAAAATGGACCAACAGAGTCATCAGTGTCATGACTCACAATCTGCAAGCTGAAGATCTATATAATACAGAAAAGTTGGATGGTTTTTTCATTTCATCCGAAACCTTATCCGTCACTTCGACGCCCATATTCCTCAGCCGCGAAGAGACATCATCAATGCCCTCATCACTCACACTCTCGAACACCAAGTCAACCTCCAGCAACTGGCGCTTGTCATCGGCACTGAAGTTGATGGACGGGTCGGACAAGTCCTCCAGAGCATCTTCCATAGCCTTTGGGTTACCTCTTGCCACTTGCCGCCGATGACGTTGCAGCGTGCCTTCAAGTTTCTGTGTGTTGCAGTACAAGTCATGCATTTGGGCCTCAATCTCATGACCGGTGTCTGCGCGGTGCTGCCTAGGCCTAGGCGCGCCGCAAGGACTCTCGCTCTCGCAGCCAATTGGCTGGAAAAATGGTTTCCTCCGCCTGGCGCAACTGATCTCGTGCGGCTTGCAGCTGCGTGTGGGCAGCATTGGCTTTGTCCCTGCACTCTTCGAATTTCTGCATCCGCACCTCACCAGCAACAATCCGCACCTCACCATGAAGGATACAACTGCAAGAGCTGCAACAATGGCGGGGTCGCCAAAGTGACGCTGGCTACGGCAGTACTGAGCGCCTTGCCCAGAGATACTGCGAATGCCAGTTCGATTCCCGTAACAAGCCATGCCCCGAGCTTGATGCCACCAAAGTTGAGTTCCAAGCCGAGGCCATTGCTGAGGATGTGCATGGTGCTGATCAGCCGGAGGTTGCGTTGCACCAGCTGCAGAAACTGCAAATTGAATCTCAGAATATTGAGCTTCTGCTGCACTCGGAGCAATCTTCCTTGGTACCTGAGATGTCTGAGTTGTGGCAAGCTGGAAGCAAAGAGATTGAATTGCAACATTGACACCAGGCATTTTGACATGCCTCATGAGCTGCAAGCAATGCAAAATCAGCAAAGTCCGGCGCTCGACGGCCAGATCGTGACACTGCCGCCCCCTTGACGTCGCTCGCCGGTGCTCCGGCGCAAGACTTTGGGCGAGTTGGTGCCGCAAGTTCCAGGGAATTGATTGCTGATGTTTGAATCCATTGGAACAGTTGAGAGTTGAGACAAGAGCGAAATACATCCGCAGAGCCCACATGTGAATCTTCTTGAATTTCATAAATTCAATCAATATGTCTGCAGAGCTCCAAGCAATGGTACTTGCAGTTTTTTTGCTTCAGTCCCTCCAAAAATTGGTCCATCCTCCTGGCCGCCTCCACATCATCGAGCCTCTCAATATCCGCCGACCCCTGCCTAGCTGACGCCTATATGCTTGGACGCCTCCATGCCGCATGCCGTAGCAGGAAAGGCATCCTATGGAGCACTGGCTGAGCACTGGCTGTGACCGCAGCAAGTGCTTTGAGCCCAAACACCGTTTTTCCCACGCACATGTGCCGAGCCCAAAGGCATCCACTTGAGACTCGGACAAGTAAGCTTGGACTGGGAACAAAGAGACCTCCGAAGATGTGTGCTTCCTGGTTTCAGGCAGGTGGGCCCAGCTGGGCGCGTTTGGCTAGGCTGTGTTTCGTCAAGGCACCAGAAGCAGACCCAAGAGCTGTGCAAACGGCAGTGGGAATGGCACCTCGATATGGCGGCTGGGGGATGCGACATGACGTGGGAGTTGGTTCAGTGAAGCACACACAAATAGACCGACCATTGGCTAACACAAATAGATTGTAGTATGGTCCATACAGTGGCTGTATAATAGTAGACCATGGGCTAGATGCGTCCATACTACAAATAGTGTATACAGCTTCTTAGATTGTAGTATGTTCCTACAGTGGCTCTAGAATCCAAAAAGCTCGGACACCAGTTATGCACACATCTGTACCAAATGGACAGGAGGTCTGCTTCTGAAATGTGTTGAATTCATGCCGATCTCTGTCCTGTCATCTGAAAATGGAATCACCCTGCAGCCAAGCGGCGTCGGCGATCTTCAGGCAGTTGTTGAAGCCCAGCATCCCATTGGAGAGCTCCTGCCAGACTGTAGCAGCAGCGGCAGGAAGTCGGTTCACTTCCAAAAAGAGGAGTGCCCCGTTTACTGCTCTTTTGGAGCTGCCTCACAGGTCCATCCTACCTCATCCTACCAAAAATGGGTGTTTGACTAGCTAGCTGGCGAACTGGGTGTGGCTACCTCGCTGCGGCTGCTATTGCGAGAAGGAGTTCAACAGATGCCGACGATCGACTTAGGGGGGAAGCCTGGCCATAACAAACAAGCTCCAAATGGCTTCCCTTCAAAGCCTTATGGTAGCCCATAGCCCAGACACGACCCATGGGACGGGACTGCCGAGAAACGGACTACCTTCCTGTCTCGGTCACCGGGGTAGGCCATGAGGGGTGCTGGCTGCTGTCGACCGGCAGTCCTATGGGCCTATGGGTCGGGTCTGGGATAGATTCCAACGAGTGAAAGGCCCATTGGTTCAAGGTTCACTAAATGCCCCAGGGTCCGCGTCATGCGATTGGAGCAGGTCCAAGCAGTTTCTTCCACCTTGGATGATGTACATGACTCATGTTACATGACTCTTCCACCACAGCATAGCAGTGGCTCCTGGTACATCCTGGACTGGATTGGAGGGGCAATCTCGATGTCCTTCATACCTTTGAGCGGCAGAACTCTGCTGACATCCGAGAACCACGATCGGTCGCAATCTGCAATCGATTGCAGATTGCGACCGATCGTGCTGCTCGGATCTCCAACTCCAAAATGTGCGACTCAAGAAAAAAGAAGACGGGTACTTGCACACACTTTCAAAGTGCCGCTTGGAAGCTGTATGCTTAGGCACAAGGCACATCAAACTACTCAGACCATTCCTTAAAGTAACCAGCCAGGTTCCACATGTGCTTGGATCACGCCTGATGGTCGCCGTTTTTCTAGGGCACACGCACGGCATGCACCGCACGCCGCAGGCGGCGTGGGCGATGCCTTTCTTTTCCGTTCCGAACGTGCCGCTTGGGTGGTTTGCTTCGCTCCGTGTCACTGGGAAGTCAGGTTGACTTCAGGCCAGGAGATTAGATCATCCACACTGTCTTCATATGAAGAACACAGTACATAAACAGCTAGTCTTCATATGAGGTTAGTCTTAATATATATATATATATACTAATGCTAGTATGTACTGGAGGCGCGAAAATGGCTTGAGAGCAGCCGAGAGGGCACATCATCCAAATGTAGATTTGCCTTTAGGTCCATGATGGTCCTATAATGCCGGTCTATCCAAGCCAAGCCCTATTTCAACCAATCTGGTGTTTCGACTCATCCAATAACCTAGATCAATCTATATCCGCAGGCCTCTATACCATGATCCTCCTGAACCTCCTGAACCTCCAGACCTCGCTGTCTCGATCCTTTCGGAAACCAGGGGGGCAATCTGCCAGATCCCATAGAATCCAGTACATGACCGTCGACACGATGTCGTTGGACGCCATCATCAGCTGCACTTGCTCCGCCGAGGGCTTCTCGAAGACCACCTCGATGATCATGGAGATTGCCCAGACACGACACATGGGACTGCCATATGCCGCCCCAGCCAGACCCCTCATGGCACCGCCCCTGGTAACATTCGGCATCTATGGCAGCCCCATGAGTCGCATCTGGGATCATCTGGGTTCTGATGGAGATCATGGAGATGCCCCCGTGAGAAAAAGGAAGAAAATGGATGTCACACGTGGCACTGGACCTGATCTGCGGGCGACACGACCAAATACTCTGGGAACATGAAGCGTTGTTCATCGGAGAAGAAGAACATGAGTGATATCTAGAAGAAGAAGAAGAGGAAGAAGAAGAAGAGGAGGAAGAAGAAGAAGAACACATGTCACGTGTGTGGAAGAGGAGGTAGAAGAGGAGGTACCTGTGTTCAACATCTGAAGCGACCCTCACTTGAATTGGCAGGTGGGGAATCAACCCGTCACGGAATCTGCCCTGCACGATTCGGAATCCTGCGACCTGGCGATGTTTTGGGTGTTCCTATGCCCAAACACGGCCCAAGGGACTGGCATAGTGACGGTGGTTGATTTCAGTCACCTGATCGGCACCAATGCCAGTCAGAATGGGCATGTGTTTGGGTATGTGTTGCAGAAGCCCTGACTTCGACCGTCGCGCTGACTTCTTCGTCGCTTGGCTCGATGGCCTGGTGAACTAGGCGAGCGACCGCCATCGCGTGATCGGTGCGACCCGCAAGCGACCCGCAAGCGACCCGAAGCCGGTGCTGGGAAGGGAAATAGGGGAAGCTGACAATCTGACAAGATGTTGTCAAAAAAGCAAAAGGATTCCATCCTTTTCTCTGCCAGGCGTGCCCTTCCAACCATCTCTACGGCAGATAAATAATGACTAAGCCCCACCCCAAAACCCATAACCATCCATAACCTATCACGACTCTATCAAAAAGAAACTGTTTTATAACTTTTATACCCGTTCAATTCCAGAACTGCCTGACAAGAGCGCGAGATTTCCGTGCTGATAGAGTGGTTTCAGAGTAGATGGCACTGGCACCCCGTTCGATGTCTTTTCTATATCCATACAAACCACCGACCTTCAACGGTTCCCTCCTTCCACACACTACACTCACTCGCCCGCGCCCACGCCGCCCGCGCCCGCGCCCGCGTCCGCGTGAAACGTTGGCCCGGTGGCATAAGCATCCGTCTTCGAGTCCATGCGGTCGAACTCTTTCCTGTTCCGAGTCTCGGAGACGCGGAGACGCCCAGCCGACGACCGAAGGACTCCAACGGCTCCAACGGATCCAGGAATTGGGGTGCGGCGGCGGTTTGCGGCGTTTAGAAAGGAAGGAAGGAAGGAAGGAAGGAAACAACCGCCCCAAAAGGCCGGATTGGGAGAAGTTCACCAAACCTTTCTGAGTCTCTGGTTGTCTGATCTTAGACCCAAACAGGGCACCAAAACGTCGCCGGCACCGAAACGTCGCCTCCGACCGCTTCCTCGCCTACGCTCGTCTTCGCAAACGCTCGTCTTCGCAAACGCTCGACCGCTCGCCTCACCGCCATCTTAGGGAGGCCGAAATCTTGCGCCTCCTGCAGTCTGGAGCAGTCTGGAGCAGTGTGGGGAGCTGACTATGCCAGATTCAAGATCTGAACCAACCTGGAGCAGTCTGGTGGTTGTGGAGCTGACAGAGTCACCAAGAGAGGTCTTTTGTGACCTGAACTAGGACCCGTCACCTATGGGATAGCCTATAGTACTATAGGGTTCTTCAACCTCTGTTGGCAATGTCATGTAGAGGTTTGGGATTCAAGATCTGAACCAAACTGGCACTTCTTTTTACCAAAAATATTCTGCAAGTAAGCCATGGTCAGCGTGCTGCTTCATTACATCCAAACAAAGGGCCCCCTGCCCCGCCGTGAAGCTTCGTCTATTCGTGATGTGTGCCGTGCGCATTCGATGGCCCTGACTCTGGTAATAGTAGCGCGAGTGTATATGTGTATTCCAGTATCGCTAGTATAGTATAGTAGTACTCTAGCGATATTATAGCATTTATATGCATTTACTAATGGTAAGTATATTAAGCAAAGGGTTTAGGACCATCTAAATTGGATGTCCTTTGGCCCCAAAGACCATTCCCTGGAAGCACATCCCTGCTAGAAGTATCGAACACCATTGAACGCCCGTACTTATGTCCCTCTTCCCAGAAATCTTGGGGACTCCCTACTTCAATACACACCCAATATTATGGGGGAGACAGGCACGGAAAAAGTGGATCAAACAGAATCATGCTGTTCATGGACCAAACGTCCCCCCCTCGGACGCAAAAAGAACGTCAGAACGTCAGAACATTCCGACGTGAATCACTCCCGAAACCTTCGGGTGAAGAGAGAGGAGACTCACGGAGTGATCTATTCAGCTGGCACTAGGCACATCAGGCACTAGGCACATCCGATGAGTCAATCCCCACGGGCACACCATGACTTGATACGACTTTCCGACTTCAACCGTGGCCCCCAGTACCTGAAACAATCATTTTAGAGGAAAAATTCCCCGTGGGAAGACCACGTTCCTCTCCCAACAGGGGGATGACGTCCACTTCCATGTTAGAAGGAGGGATTTCCACCCATGTAACACCCATTTCAACCAGACCCTCATCCCACGACTTCCCGGTGCACGGCTTCGAACCCACAACAGACCCATACCACGTCAATGGCCATCCTTGTCCACTCGCATGGTGTTCCGCGTCCGAACGCCCTTCACCTGCACCTGGTGCCGGCGCCCCGGTGGGCCCACTCCAGAAGCTCCAGAAGGCGTCACAGCATGATGTTGAAGGTCGAAGTCAGAGCTTTGGGGGCAACAGAATTACCAGAACCAGCCAATCAGCAGATGTCTCTTTTGGAACAAATAACCAACCAACAAAATCAGGTGTGTTTTC